TTTGGCATTCTTTTGGTGCGAGTCGGCGTGAGTTCCAATCTGCTAACTTTAACATCAACTCCAAACCCCCAGCACGTTTGCAAGCACTGTGACCAACAACAGTAACCAATGACAACAGTAATTCCAAACCCTCAGCACCTTTGCAAGCACGGTGAACAACAACAGCAACCAATGACAACAGTGGCAACAAAATCAACAATCACAATCACGACCCAGGATAAGATTGAATTTTGTATAACATCTCGCTGGCAAGAGTTGGTTCACTTCTCTCTGTTGCCAATTCCCATAGGCAAGAGAAAACGAAGCACATAATAGGCTTAGATGTTCGCTCACATCTCGCCAGCAAAGTTTAGTCCAGCTCTTCCTGTTGTCAGGAAGTGCCGGGAACAGCTCGGCAGCAAAATTTGGTCCAATCCTCTCTGCTGTCATTTTTTATCGGTAGGAAATGACAGCGGAGAGGATTGGACGAAATTTTGTTGACTAGCTGTTGCTTTCTTGATGTTACCGATGGGAAAGGCAGCAGAGAGGATTGGACCAAATTTGGCGGGGCAAGCAAAGATGATGAAGATGACACCAATAAGATAAAGATAATAAGAATGATACACAGAAGATGTTGGAAGAAGTTCCGGGAACAGCTCCTCGGCAAAATTTGGTCCAATCCTCTCTGCTGTCATTTCCTTGGCTACCGGTAGGAAATGGGAGCGAGGAGGATTGGACCAAATTTGCCGACTAGCTGTTGCTTTCTTCATGTTACCGATCGAAAATGACAACACAGAGGATTGGACCAAATTTTGCCGGGCAAGCAAAGATGATAAAGACTACCCGAATATGATAAAGATGATAAAACAAGGATGATGCACAGAAGATTTTGGAAGAAGTTCCGTGAACAGCTCCTCGGCAAAATTTGGTCCAATCCTCTCTGCTGCCATTTCCTTAGCTACCGGTAGGAAATGGGAGCGGAGAGGATTGGACCAAATTTTGCCGACTAGCTGTTGCTTTCTTCATGTTACCGATCGAAAATGACAACACAGAGGATTGGACCAAATTTTGCCGGGCAAGCAAAGATGACAAAGATTACACAAATATGATAAAATGATAAAACAAGGATGATACATAGAAGACTTTGGAAGAAGTTCCGGGAAATGTGGTCCAATCTTCTCTGCCGTCATTTCCTTGGTTACCGGCAGGAAATGACAGCGGAGAGGATTGGACCAAAATTTTCTGACTAGCTGTTCCCATTGCTTTCTTGATGTTACCGATGGGAAATGACAGCAGAGAGGATTGGACCAAAAAGGATAAGGGCGAGTAGGCTCTATACACACAGCACCACCGCCCCCTCACCCCCTTTCATAAAATGGGAGTGGATAAGACGGTGACAGGGGAGGAACCACCATTTCAAAAAACAATTGAAGTAAGCCCGATTTCAAACAATTCAAAAAACTGGCCATCCGAAATAATTGAAATAATTGAAACACTTCAATGACCCCCGATTTCAATTGTTTCAATTATTTGAATGGTGGGGGGTTTCTCCTTATCCACCAATAGATAGGGATTTCAATTATTTCAATTGTTTCGGCTTTTTGAGGCTCGAAATAATTGCAATGATTGAAATCCGGTGCTTTGTGAGCCACAGTCACCGAAACCCCATGATTTGAATAATTGAAATAATTGAAATAATTGAAATATGGCTCGGTGAGCCACAGCCTTCGAACCCCCACAGTTTGAATAATTGAAATAGTTGAAGTAAGCCAGATTTCAATTATTTGTAAAATTGGCCATCCGAAATAATTGACATAATTGAAATACTTCAATGACCCCCGATTTCAATTATTTCTATTTTTTAAATGGTGGAGGATTTCTCCTTATCCACCAATAGATGGGGATTTCAATTATTTCGGTTATTTGGGGCTCGAAAGAATTGAAATAATCTCCGGTGAATCACATTATTTCAATTATTTCAACTGTTTGTAATCGATCTAGCCACAGAGAAACAAATAGGACCGATCCCCAAGAAGTCTCGCACACTGATTGCACCAAGCCGCCTGCCTCGTAGCAGAAATTCTGCAAGGCAATATCGTCCTGCCGTGATATAACGCACCGAAAATTCCATTGTAGACTTCTCGACCCATCACTCGGTTCGGTCACGGTCATTGCGAAATTCTTGAATCTCGAAGCTAGCATCGGATGCAGCCTTGAGATCAAGCTTGTCCCACTGTGACGGTATGTCAATTTTGTCCATGTCCTGCATGGGAAGATGCAAGTGTGCAACGATGTATGGCTGCGTACGAGAATGCACCATGACCACTGAGGCTCATCCACAACAAGGCTTTGGGATGACAGCTTGCGAAGATAGGATGCAATCTTGTGCGCTGGCATGTGCGCTTCTTCTCGTATCGCTTTAGACTTTACGAGTCTGCACGACAAAAGCGCTGCAGCCTTGTAGTTCGGCAGCTTCAGTCCGCCAGTAATGGACTTGGCCTGCAAGCCAGAGATCGTCACAGTTATCTCCAATGAAGCGCTACGCGTAGGTCACCAGGGTTGTGGCCAGCTGAAGTGTGCCAGTGATCGCTGCCAATCTGAAGATGCAGGTTGACAGCCTTTGCAGACCCGTCGACACTCCGTTCGCTGATGTAGCACAAGGACTAACAGGAGTCTGTCGATGTGGCGGAAACTTCGGTCCCTCGTCGAGGCTGGAATGATCGTTCTAGAATGCGTTCGCTGATGTAGCACAAGAACTAACAGGAGTCTTTTGATGTGGCGGACACCTCGGTCCCTCGTCGAGGCTGGGATTGTCCATCTAGAATGCGGTAGTGAGTAATGTATGATTTCTCGACGCTTAGATAAGTGCCGCGATGCCTCGCCAGCTCCAGCTTCGACATCTTGCCATAGCGTTCTTCACCTGCGACAATGCCAGAGACGGCACCTTTGCGAATGCCACAGCCTGGCAAGAACAGATCCGACAAATCCCGGCCTTCCGTGAAGTCTGAAAGGGCTGGGCTGTTGTATATCCTTGTCTCACGATGCGTGTTGAAAGTATGAAGCCATTGTCGCGATGATTTGCGTATGATCTGGCCTCGAATCTATCTCGCTGATATAGCCGTTCAGAAATCCCAACCTCGCCTGAGCAGATGCAGTGGGATTTTGGAAAACGTGCTATAGCCCCGGGAAGCCCTTCGCTGTACTCTGCATGTCCGCTTCACGTCGAGATCAGAAATGAGCATCACGCCATTGGCCACAAGTAAGCGAAACCAATCCTTGTTGTGATGCTTCACACAATGTTGACATATGTCTCACAGCCGCAATTCTGGCTCAACGTCATCGGCAAAGTCACCAGCTCTGCACCATACGCAGCCTCTGCAACTGAGGCTGGGTCGGAGTATCGCCCTGCATAAGCGGTAGAAGCGTTCTCATCACTTCGGGGTCTTCCGGATCGAGGCCGATCATCACCTGAGCTTTTGAATAGGTCGGGTGTGATAGTTCACATGTCCATGGCGAGCGGCATAGAAGAAATATCTGATGAAAAAGCCGCGTAGACCTGATCACAAGTCCATGGCATCGACCGCAGGCCTAAAGTGGCGAGCCGCAGCAGGCCTTTGTCTGAGGCTTTGTGGAACTCTTCACCAGGCCCATGCGGCATTCGCCGGTAGTCCTGGGAGGCCGTTGGATAGAAGGATAGCAACTACTCTTGTGGCAATTCGCACAGTAGTTCGTAGCACGGTACTCCCCTCTTCACTCACCCTCGCGAGTGGTCCTCGGCCAGCTGTGCCCACAGCCGTGCTGCCTTCTCGGACTTCATCCGTTCTGCAAACCCCTCACCTGAGTCTGAGCATGTCTGAGCATGATGCGGCGACGTGCTGTAAACACGAGGCCGCTGCTGAACATGTAGTGCTTGAAGCATGCAACGAACCTCCGGCAGACGTCGACTCACGCGACATTGATCGACTGTGAACTGCAAAGATCTCGCACCTCTCGTGCAAGGAGTTCACATCCTCAGTCCAACTAACATCGCTCCGCGGTCTTGTCTTGAGGGCCAAGCTGTCGAAGCTTTGTCAAGTTTTGCGGTATCACTGTATCAGCGGTTGCGACTCGGAGACCAGTGATAAAAATCCAGGCATGCACGAAGCATGACGCACAAACTTCCGCACGTCTGCAAACAGGATGCCAGATTCGGCATCTGCAAAAAGAAGATGTCACGGTCCACTTTCGGCAGATTGGTCAAGGCCTGTCAGAGCTATCTCTTTGTTCACGAAGTCACTTCCCCGCTACTTTCCGAACTTGTCCATTTGTCCCTTCGCGACGGATCGGCTCCTTATTCTGATCCCTCTAACAATAACATTGCATCTAAAATAGCTCTTCGTGCTTCGCTTCATTGGCCTGCGCCCCGAGAAGGGCCGTTCGAGACTGTCCGCTTCTTAGCGTCGCCTCAACTACCTGAATCGACCGGCTCATTCACAGGGTTGGTTGTGAAGTGCAGAGGGAGCAGCATGTCCACGTGCCTGGTAGTCACCTATCGACACCATGCCAGCATAGCAATAGTTGTTGCCGAGGGCATCCCTGTCCAAGCTCAAATGAAAGATTTTGGATGTCTGCTTTTTTGCCTGTGCAGCTGGCAGATTTGATGCAATTGCGAACACGCTCTACGGTCTACATGCCTTTACAAAGCGGAAACGACGGACACCTGGCTTGGCCTTTGCTTTGGCTTGCTTTTGCTGGTCTTGGATTCGGTTTGGGTTGCTGAGCCCTACTAGGCACATGCGACAAAACAACCTCGAACTACTTGCTGTAAGTGTCACAGGTCCATATATTTTTGCGATTCCATGTAGATTTTTGGCACCCCGCCTCAGTCGATGGCAGTATGCGTTGTTGTCGAGCTCCATACCTCACATGCCATGTGTGTGCATGGGGGAGATCGAGACACAACAGCACTGACTGCACAAACCGCATGCCCAACATGCCTTGAGCACTGCCGATTGCAGGAAGAACCTAAAAAGGTTCGGTCGGGTGGAGAAGGAACTTGCGAGCAGATTCTGAGATCTGGGGAGGGCACCATCTGGCTAAGCGGGCAGCCCTCAGATGTACGTGTAGAGGTTTGCAGGGGCTTGTCTTGCGCGTGTCGCTCGAGTTCGGTTTTTCAGGGAAACTTTACCAGCTGCACAAGCTCATGATGCATCGATGATTCAAGCACGTCCCTACACTCTCTCTTGGAACTAAGTCAATGGGAGAAATTTTGGCATGGACGGAGACCTCACGCCACCAGACTCGCTGTGGAAATATTTCGTCTCGTGGCTAAACCGAAGCGCCGGGATATATGCAAAAAATGTGAAAACCACTCAAACGGCGAAACAGAACCATTAAGAACGAACACGTGGAAAAACGCTGAAGACGCAAAAATGGCAACGGCAATAGTAGTATTATTGGTACTAGTACTGGGCATGTCATAAGATTTATAATCCCTGAACCCTGAACCCTAAGCGAATGTCGAAAATCATGAAAAGTTGCCAAACACGAGGACAATAGCAAACAACAGCACAAACAACAGCAGCAGCAGCAGCAGCAGTAGTAGTAGTAGTAGCAGTAGTATAAGAATACGAACTGTTAGAGAATAAACAGTAATAATGAGAATCAGAATAGCAATATTGGGAACAGCAATAATGAAGTAAAAAACATATTATCAGGAATACTGGCAACAATCGCAACGATAGTATAGTAATAGCAATAGTAATAATGACAAGAATAGCACTAATAGAAGTAAAAGTAGCAGCAATAGTGATAGTAATGGGAAAAGTACTAGTGACAGTAGCAGTCGCTAGTAATAGCAATAGCAATAGCAATAACGGAAAAAAAAAAACAGAAATTGTACTCAACACAGCAATACACATGGAAATAGCAACAGTAATCTAACAGTACTAGTAGCAGTAATAGTAATAGCAAGAGCAAGAGTAGTAGTAATGTTAAGAGTAACACTAAAAGTTTGAGTAGTAGTAGTAGTAGTAGTAGTAGTAGTAGTAGCAGTAATAAAAACAGTAGCAATATAATATTATGCCATAGTAATATTACTTCGTATTAACTATTCTAGTCGTCCTTTTCGGAAAGAGTGAAGAGTAAACATAGAACATGGAAATAGCAAAAGTAAGGATAATGGTAAGAGTAAGACTACTGGTGAGACATGCAACTCGAAAACTGCGAAAAGAGCGACATTGCGGACACTAGTGAACAACAACAATAATAATGATAAGACGGGTATCGTACACCATGGCGACACGTGTTTGCGGGGTCGTGTTTGTATTGTAAACGGACGAATGGTGTCGAGAGTCCGAGACCCCAAAAGTGCTGACTGCTTCCTAAACACCCCATGATGAGATGCCCATACCCCAGCCAAACAGGAACGGATGGCAAAGTCCAATACCTTCAATTCAAGGCTTGACGCGGTCCCGAAAACCCATTGGGTGGCAAGCCTTCAATCCTAGGGATGACTGGCTCCCTGAATCGAATCCATCAACCTCTGCAAAAAAACCGATGCCACGAAAGAAATATGGGTTAGTAACTAACACTGGTTCCCCAAAACCCATAAGCCTAACAGGAGTGAGTGGTCCGGATCGCTTAAACAGCCATTTAACCTGAGATGTTGGATATTAGACTCTAAGATTGGAAAGAAAAATATGGGTGGCCATTCCCCGAAGCCCTCGAAGGGATGATCGGCTAGCCAAACACCCAACAGTCATAGTTTATGGCTGATAGTTTCAAAGGAGTGGCAAATCTAAAGCAGATGCTGGGTGGCCTGGCATTGGTTCCAACGAACCCAGCAACATGGGAAGAGGCGATGGATGGCAAATGCAAACCCCTAAGAATCGAAAAAGCATGGCAGGCTTTCTAACTTAGTGGGTGGCCAACCCTAAGCTCTGAAAGGTGTGAACCGACTGAAAATACTTTATAAATGGCAGCCTGGCAAACCCGAGAATCTCAAAGATGCTCTAGCAGGTGGCAAAACCTTTAAACCCCAAACCGTGTTACTGGGTCCTGACGAACTTATTAAGCAAGCCTCAACACAAGTATAAAACACAAAATAATATAACCAAATATAAACCACGTTTACCAAGTCGAAATATAATACAATAGAGCTGAACCCACTAGAGCTCGATTTGAATACATTAAACCTAATAGTGACTGTAGTGTAGTATAACAGACTATAACACAGTATTATACAAGACGATGCAACAAACGAAAATCATACAATGCCCTATAACGTAGAACGATGAATTATAATGTGCTACTAGTAACATATTCCTCAATTTGCTGGGGTTGCTACAACATGGCAAAACTAAATCAGAGTATAAGATACTCCATTGAACTAGAATAACATAATGCAATATCTGACACTACTGTGTCATATAGTTAGTATAGGAATAGAACATGGAATGTAGTATAATGTGTATACTACATGCCCGGTAAGAAAGTTTCGTCGCATCCGCTAGAGACACTTAACGGAGTACGCGGAGTACAGGGAGTGAGGAATACCCTAGTCCTGGAACCTGCAAAACCTGATTTTGGATTTTCTGTCAAAACCTAGGCCCCTCCAAGCTTTTCGAACACGCCCATGCGGTTTCGGCAGTGGTTTCTGGCCCACTGCCTGGTGGCCTTAAGGGCAAAATCCGAGTCCTCAAAACGGCCGTAAACCTGCCTGAATCAAAAAGGCTACCTTTGCCGTGGCTCAACAACACCTAGGTTTTTAGCCTCAAAGCCAACTCCCGAAAATCCATTCGAGCTGCCTCAACCCCTGAAACATGGTTTCGATGTTAACAATCAAATCTGAAAATCCTATCGAACTTCAAAACCTGATTTTGGATATTCTGCTCAAACCCAGGCCCCTACAGGCTTCTTCGAAAGCGCCTGTGATGTTTCGGGAACGGTTTTGGCCTGGAAACCAGGCTCTGATGTCAAAAATCCAAAAAGTCCCAAGGTTCCTGCTTTGTTACCGGGACGTTGCAGATTTGTTCCTGCCCGTGACGTGCCACATCGAAGGCAGTACATGGCCGGTTACAAGACCCTTCCTGCAACCTTAAGCGGGAAATCCGATGCCGAAAGCGTTCTAAACCGACTTTCACACACGGATTCATTTTTTAGTGGAGGCTAGTTTTGTTATGGTTTGTTCCTCAAGGTGATCTCTTCGAAAACATAAGCATGATGTATGAATGTCCAGGCTTGCAGCTGTCGGGGCAGCTGCACAAACAAACCTGCTAGGTGCGCTCTACGAACAAACCTAACGGGCACGCGTCGCACGAGCGACATCATGCTTCTGATAGAACGGTCGAATACATGGCGATGGTTCTGTTCCTCAGGATGAGCTTCAAACACCTATTTAAGCGTTGCAGAGGACAAAATATCAGGTTCGCATGATGGCCAGCATAAAAAAAGGGACAGACCTGGCTGAACGCGGCCCGTCCGGCTCAATGGGGCCTATTCCCCACCGCCGTCTCGCCCTTGCACCATAAGCTCGAAAGTAGCATAAACATAGAAACCTGGAGCATGAAAATTAAAACCCGGCCGGCACTTCGAGCCGTGACCCAGTGGGAGAATCAAACTGCTCATGGAATCACAGTCTGCGAAGGTCGATTCAAAGCGTTGACATCACGTTGCTTTTTGGCGTGTAGCCAATGTTGCTTGTTCGAAGGTCGTTCTATGCCGTTCTCGGAGAGTGTGTGCTGCCACCTATCCCGCATGCTCTCAGTTCATTGAAGCCTTGCATCAACAACAAAATACACAGTGAGGTGAAGCAAAACTTCCCAAAAGAAGCACAGCATGGTTCATGCAAGGCTCCGGATGCTGCAGAAGGCTGACTTGCAAGGCTGATGACAAGGCATAGCAGCCCAGTTGTGGGGCCAGAAGGATCACGATCACAAAAAGGGCAACCTCGAGGACAAGGACATGCTCGTGCAATGGAGGCATAGGCACGTAAAGCCATGGAGGAGGCCACGAGTAGGTGATGATATCAGTCTGCTTCCAAGTCTCAAAGATCGACATAGCAGCAACACCCATTGCGAGAGCCTTGATGAGCAAAGGAGCGTCGTATCTAAGCAACTCGCGGCAGGAGTCCCTGCAGATCTTGCAGGCAGGGCACTCGCCACGTCAAGCCCACTTCTAGAATGTATACCTGACCCATGGTGCAGGGCAAACTGCTCTTGGAACAGCGATCAATTTAGTTGAGGCTGATCCCTAACACTGCCTTCTGTCTTTGAAGGGGGGAGCACCTGCTTGCAGACGAGGGACCAAAATAGCTACAATCGGCGTCAGCCAGAAAGCTGTGTGCACTGACAAAACTGCACTAGGCAAGTCCTTGGTGGAATCTTCGCCAAACAAGAAAGGATAGCAGCAAACCGTGCCGGCATGGAAGAGATTGGAAGAGTCTGAGCTGGCGTCTCCTCTTGCAGGTGGAAGCTGGGCGACCTCGCTTCCCCACAATTTCACGATGTCTCGAGTGAAAAGGCACTTCAGAACGCAACAGGAACTGGCCTTAAGCAATGGCTCGGACTCGACATCCGGCGAGCAGCAGCCTCCCGAGCTCTCGAGACTAAGGACTCATCTGCTGAGCATTTCCCTTTCAGCCGAGTTCTGTCCGTCGAAGGGATTTGCTTTACATGGCAAGCGCGTCACCTTTAAACATCGCTGCACCTTCCGCGCCGAAAGCCTGAGTGCCACACAGCGCCATGCACCACCGCTACAGCACGGAAAGGCTTACGGTCCCTTCCTCAGGCTGACGCGGCCCGCGCGGCCAGGGTGCACCGGGAAAATGCGCGCAAAACTCAATCTGTGAGACTTCGCAGCCGCGGCACAACGGGTCAGGGGTCATAAGTTGAAATGCTGAATGGCATCGCAGGCACATGCACGATCGAGATGATCGAGACCTCTTTTCGACGCTTCTTGCTGTGGCATGTCCAAGTGCCTGGCAAGTCTAAAGGAACTTCATCATGTCACGTATCGTCTCACCCACCACGATCGCATCGAAGCTTTCGCCAAAGCATGTAACGACAAAGCACATGCCACAATCTTCCACTGTGAGTTTCCATTTCAGCATGACTTTGCACTACATTGTGGCCCTACTTAGCTGGAAATGCTGTAGAATTGTAGAATATTGGCGCTGGAGCCATGTGGATTCACAAATTCCGACACAAGCTCAAGCCGTTGAAATACGGAAGCGAAGCTGCACAGAATTCCACATTCGAGAGCTAGGAGATAACCTGCGAACAGGTCAGAGTCGCTGCCATTTACCGGGTGTTCAGTTTCCAAGAAGAAGCAAATTGCGGAGTATTCTTGAATCTTCCTGTTGCATACGACAGCTTTTGGAAACAATTGGACTGTGCAAGCAAGTGTGTGCATGAACAATCTGGCATCTGCATATGGTCATGTGCATGTAGAAGCTGCCTAATGCAATCAATGGTCGCCGTCGGTAGTAGCATGCGTGCGCGCACCATGATGATCGGAGAATCGGTTCGTTCTGGCTAAGCTGGGGCTCTGGGGTCAATGACAATGCCTTTCACGATCAACGTCAGTTTAGTACTAATACTGTTTCACATCACGGAAGACCTGCAGCTCCAAAGATGAAACTTCACAATAAGGTCGGCGGGGGTCGGCGATGTGCTGTTGTTAACACTTGACGGCATGGCGGAGGCGGCGGCCAGTAGGCGAGGTGGTCGCGTCCGTTGGCCTCATCGATCTCCTCCAACCATCCTGCTCTGGCGCCTGGCACCCAGGCTCACCGCTACTGCGTCTGCGTCAGCTCGAGCATGTGCACGGTGATGTGTTTCTGTTCTCTCCGCCTGGCTTTGGGTTGAAATGGGCTGGTCACCTGCAACAGTCTGCGTCCGCGCCTGCAAAGCTATCACAATAGGGGACGTAGGGCTTGATGTCAAGGACCGGTGTTCCATCGAGCAAGTCCAGGCCGTGAACGGAAACTGGGCTCAGAAGGCGGGGTTTGCTGAAGTGCTCAATTTACAAGTGTATAATGTTGCAGGCCTTGCAGTTTGGCTGCGTCCACCCCAAGCAATCCTTACTTGGACTTCATCATACTTGTTGAGTCCGCAAGGATGCGAACCGCACATGCGGCTGGTCTGAGCGTCGAACGACATGCCGAAAGACCAATGTGGTTCCTTGGCATCATATTCTGAAAAGTTTCAAAGGAACAGCCTCACCCAAAAAATCGCATTGATGCGCTGCGTGCTGGTGCTGGTTCTGGTGCTGGGCGCTCGGTGCTCGGTGCTGTTGCTGCTGCTGCTGCTGCTGCTGCTGCTGCTGCTACTGTTGCTGTCTGCTGTCTTCTTCTTCTTGTGAATGTTTTTATAATACGTTTTTGCTGCTCTTTGCGCTGGTGCTGCTGCTCCTGCCGCTGGTGCTGCTGGTGCCAGTGCTGGTGCTGGTGCTGGTGCTGGTGCTGGTGCTGGTGCTGGTGCTGGTGCCGGTGCTGGTGCTGGTGCCGGTGCCGGCGCCGGTGCTGGTACTGGTACTGGTGCTGGTGCCGGTCCCGGTCCCGGTGCTGGTGCTGCTGGTGCTGCTGGTGCTGGTGCGGGTGCGGGTGCGGCTGCCACTGCGCGTGCGGGTGCGCTGGTGCTGGTGCTGGTGCTAGTGTTATAACCCTGAATCCCTGGCAACCTTTGGAAATCAACAAATAATTATTTCTGTGAAAAATCTGTGAATCCAGGTTTCCAGAATCTGTGAAAAATCTGTGAATCCAGTTTCCAGGAGCGAAAAATCTGTGAAAAATCTGTGAATCCGGTGTCACGGAATCTGTGGAAAATCTGTGAAAAATCT